TTCCCTGACCACAAGACCAAGTTGCGACAACGAGGTCAACCCACTTCTATTAATCGAAAGGAGACTGCGACCATAACAGAGCCCACAACAACTTGGTCTTCATATATGTTAATTGTGTTTCATTCATAAGTAGGATCTCGGTACCTTCAAGACCTTAACGAAGTAGTATCAATAGGTCTCATATGTGTGATCTACTGGTGCCCTCGAAAATCTACTTATAAACGACAAATAACTGGGGCTGTCGATTTCTATAGCAAATACAACTTTGCTTTGTCGAGAATTCCATCACAGAATGTGACAATGGAAATTCACATCAGTCTTGTGACCCAAGGGCACTAGTGGCAATGTGGTGCAGTGATTGACGTGTGGAGATTACACGCTGCATTGTCGCGGTCCGAGGCGCTTTGGTGGTGTGGAGTAGGTTTAGGATACATTCCAGTCCTGCCTGGATGAGAATAGCATTTGGTAAGCAACGTTATGTAAAAATGAGTGGAAACGTTGGATCTACTCATATCATTGTGGCAAAATTTGACTCCTTAACGAAATATAGTGACTATGTTTTAGGTGTAGTCTGCAAAATCCATTCATAAAGGCAAATTGGTTAATATTGTCAAATTTGCGGTACAATTCATCCGGCTGAAATATATGGGAATGAACCAAGTGCAAAAGGACGATGTGTAGATAGCATCCTTATGCCGAGAAAATATAAGTTTCTCTTTCAGAATATACCCACTGAAGGGCTAGACTGCCAAGCCTACATACTACTGGTTAAAATAATATATACGTTATACAAAGGTTCTGGGTAGCCCGAAATAACGTTTCGGAAAGTAAGTACACACCTCATTCTCCTCATCTTGAATTCCGATTGGAAAGTGGCAATCAACGTTACAATCCTAAACGCAAGTGTACTTCTCCTACTCAACTTCACTATCCGGAGGCACTAAGTTGAATTCTTTTTTAGTTTCATTTTAAATGGCGAAATTCGTAACGTGTACGTGCTGTTTGAGATATAAGTTGATTGAATTTCTGGCTTATTGTGCGAAACACTGTCCTGTGGTACGTCCCGCTTGAGATGGTGTTGAGATGATGCGGCCATTTGGAAGTGACAATCCAACCTGGTTGCCAATTAGTATTTAGAAAAAGTTTCCGCAACTTGCTCGTATTTTCATGTCCCTTGTCCAAAGACACTAGAACCATGATAATTTCCGGCGTCGGATGCTTCGTCGGCATTGTTGTGGTCATCTTTGGTGAGGTCTGTCATTCGTGGCATCACCATTATGCAACGAAATGAGACCGCAACCATCTTGGTCTTCGCACCTTCCATTATTATTTGGGCTACCCCACCAAATGGAATTACGCATGAAAATAACCGGTTTTTTTCAATGCATCATAGAGTGAAATACAAAGACCAGTAGTAACCGGTGAAAGTGTGCATCATTTTGATTTTTCTTTGTTGCTTAACTCGGCCAATCAGGCCTGGCCGTGACGTTGAGGAAACGCAAACCGTCGTCTCTTGATCGACAAGAGTGGGGCTCGTCTGAAGGTGAAACGGGTACTTGAGGTGCACGGTTGGTTGTGCCAGTTGTATGTGTACCAGGCTGGACAGTTTTTACCGGATAACTGGATGGATGATTTTGCTAATCTGCTTTAATTCTGGCCAACTTTAACTTAATACCAACATCCTCGTCTGTCTGGAGGACGGCAGTCGGCCGTGAAAACTGGTGATGTGGTCATGAATAACTTTCTTCTCCAGTCTCCTTCAGCCGCATTTATCGGCTGAAAGTACACGACACTGTCCGCTCCGGCTTGGCTTTCCTCTTGAGTGCTCTCGATTTCGAGTAGGGGAGTCTGCATTTGCATAACCGCCATTAACGAGTCGGACAATGTGGGAAGGAAGACAAAACGCCATGCCTGCGTTTTGGAGCAGTCAAGAGGACGTGTACGTCTGGTGAAATCATCATCGTGTGATCGGCGCGCCCCACCTCACTTCACACCCTGTTGCCTCGGCTGTGCCAGAAGCCCAGTTCAAGGGGCTTTGGGCCGGCCAGGCCGAACGAATATGCACCAGACCAGATGGTGTGCACACTCGCAGTCGGGCACGGAGGACGGCAAGAGACAATTCACATGTGAGGGATGCAGGGAGGGGTTCTGAAAGACGGACAATGAAATAAACACAATTATCTGCTGACTTGGCGAGAGATAAGCGCATTCGGCCGAAAAAGTGGACCCAATTCTCATTCGAAAGCCGTCAATTCAGTGAAAAATCTGCAGTGAAGCAAACCAAGTGGAAAGCTATTTGTTACATTCACTGTTGGCTCGGCTTCTCCGCCAGGACCCAATCAGAGACTGGATTGTGAGCAAGCATCCCTGCCATCTTCACCTGTCAAGCCGTTCCATTTCGCCGGCTCATTGTCAACCTGTTGACCGTTCGGGGGGTCAACAAGCTGTTGACCCTATTGGACTTGTCCATCTTTCCGGATCGACAGTCGCTTTGATCATTCAACAGATCATCATCCATCATGGTTACCCTAAACTGTAGTATCGATGGGTTGAACTGCATTTCGTGAGATGTTAAGAGTCATAGATGGACCAATAGCTCTCGAAGTTCTACAGTCATTTAATTTTCCAACGACAGGCTCACTGACACAGTGCTCGCGAAATCCCCCTCCGTTTGGGTTGAAAATGAGCTGGGCACTTGAGAAGCATCGTCAGAGGTGGAAAATCTCCTTGCGAAGACTTTAATTAAACACCAAATCAAGAAGACTCTTTATCATCTTTTATCTACGAAGCAGGTTGGGCTTGCACAGATAGTGGCAGCATATAAACCTACTTAAAATGAACTAATGTGGAAATAGTCACCTATAAGAAAATGCATGGTTGCACCAAACTTTTAAAGGGGAGTGGAATTAGTCGGCCTAAGATAGCTACCGTCAGACTGGTTACATAAACGTAGGAGACGCAAACGCACAGACGCCCAACATAATGCAAATAAGATCTCACCATCTTGAATGTTTCATGAAAATATTCGCATGAGAGCACACCTTACTACTGTCGAGCATGGCGCCTCATTGAAGATGTTCGTGTTCTTTTACTTTATATATGCTAAGAAAATTTGGGTTTCGAGGACTCTCTTATTTCATAATTGTTAAGACTACTACACAAACAGGCACATACAGAGACAGACACACTCACAGGCTTCGAAGTTGACATATGACCGTAACTAACCAAATCACTTTATACTCGATCAAAGAGGCCAGATGTAGAGTATATATACCACTTTTTACGGATTTTCCGGTGAGTTTTCTTGACTCGTTAACTTGATTTTTGTTGTGACGATGATACCTCGTCATTTGACGGACGAAAGCTTAGCACCTTTTCACCTGAATCGAAGGAGATTGCCTCGGAAACAGCGTCAGCATGATCAATCGACAACTGGTCAAGAGGAATCGGCCTTCATTTTCTGACTTGATGGGCCTTAGAATCTATTCACAAACACCTTCACTCGAAATGAAAGTAGGCTCAACAATTCTTTTATTTTGTCTAAGTTTAACCAAGTCATTACAAGCTTATTCAATTGGCTTTTGTTAACTCCAAACTCGGGAGCGTGCCAGAGTATTGTCTCGGCTGTAATCCACTTGAATGGTTGTCCGAATAAACTGATGACATAATCAAAGAGACGCTCACCTCCTCTTGAGGGTGAGGAGTCAAAAAGTCTAGTCGGCTCTATCCTACATGCTACATATCCTGACGATCAAAAGAGAAAATTTTGTAGACACAGATAAATAGGTTCAAGACTAACATGTAGTTTTTGAAAGAACGACTTCCAGCAATGAGTATATCTGCCATGCAACATGACGGACGAAAGCTTAATTCATTTTCAACCAAAATGACTGCTTGGACTTCATCACCATGACAGTTGTAGCAAAATCAAACGATTCCAGAATAAAGAGGGTTATCCGTCGCCTTCTGGTGAAATCAATCTACATAATTCCTTAAAAGTCACATTTATACAAAATGAAAGTAACCATAACAACACTAGCTCAGAATTGAAGGTTCCCGTCAGTCTAGGTCGTATAAGGTGATGAAAGACTAATAGTTTAATTTTTCCACAATGACATAAGTAGATCTCACGTTTCTATGGCATTGCAATTAACCTTTCTCCCTAAAGTAAATTTTCACCTAGAAATGAGTGAACGGCACCCCCAGCAGGAGTCATGCGCCCCACTGCCACATTATCACACTATAGAACCAAGGGTGACTATAATTCTTCTTTAATATCTACTGACAGCCTCGAACACATTTTGTATCCGAATACGAAAGAGACGCTAGACCGAAGGGAAAAGTAATCATTTACATATATTCAAGCCTAAAAACAGACATTCTTGCGTCACTCGTACGCATTAAATGCGAAAAATAGTTTGGACGCGTACATACTTACATAATCTCAACTTTGGGCAATTTCATTAATGATTTGTCTCGAGTCATTAAACCGAGGTCACCCAAAATTGACAACAGGCCTTATTTTAATTACTTCGAATTACGAGTCTTGTTTTTTACAATACGCACACAAAGACACTTAAGCATATAAGTATATAACATGCAAAATAATAAAATAAATAATTCTATATCTATCTTTATATCTCCACATTTTATTTTCTGTTCCCAGCACATACGGATATATATATATATATATATATGAGTTTGTGTGTATGATTGTGATAACCTCATGATACCAACAGATTTATATCTACGAAAAAACCGGATAGTGATTTAGGGGTGGTCATCTTGACATTAATTCATTTTGTATAGGTTCTGATAATGCCAGTATATTTAAAAACTCATATAATCCTTATCAAGAGTAGAAAATTAATTCTAGAAGCGAATAGCATATTGTTAACTTGAGGCTTTTGCCAGAATGCGTTTCAGTCCGGAAGATTCCTGGGATGCGGTATGAAAGACGAAATCTAACTCCTACCTGAACCTAATAGTGGACACATATGGCTTGAGTGGCATTGTTTTCTGATGCAACACTTTCATATTGATGGATTATAAATCTAATGTTTACGTTCTTCTCGGGAGATTGACTAAAACTACTTTGTATATTATATATATATATATATATATATAATAATAAAATGTAGACAAAGGTTTCCATCGTTGAATTAGACCAAACGAAGCTTGGCTATTCCCTTCACATTGGTTGGAGAAGGAGTGTTATTGGATTTGGCGTAATGAGAGCACCTTTGGGACCCTTCGTTTGGTGTGATGTGAAGAAGAAAGCAAATTTCGTTGCTAGAGGCCAGTTTAGTGTTGTTTTGAACTTGGTTGAACCCATGCCCGCCCGGTGATACAGCATCCCCATGATGGCCCTGTTGCATGAACTGTGGCCTATTGCCCCCCACTTCGGCCACAGACAGTCCGACGACTGACGTCAAATAGGTCTTGCTTCCTGTGGCCGTAGTCAATTGTTCCACAGTCTCACCTCATCCTCAACACCCCCCTCAACCGAATTACGACACTTTTTTTCCTTTGTATCAACACACTGCCACTCATAGGCCACCTTTCCTCTTCCGCTTCTCTCCCTCCTCGCCTCAGTCCCAAGCCCGCGTTACCACACCCAATGCCGACTGTGCACACACAAGCATGCCTACACGGCAGATATGCATGGTACAGCCGTGGGCACACTTCCTCAGCCTCAAGACTATGAAGTTGAGCAGATTTGCCCTGGCGCCTACGCAAGTGGTAGCCTCTGTTGAACCATAAATGTACAGGTAAGGGGCGCATTGCATAAATATCCCAAATGGACATGCTCTCTCGTGAGGTGAAAGAGACAATGGTGGGGAGCAGAGGATGGGAAACAGAAAAGAGGCGGTTTCCTTTTATGACGCGACCCTTTGTATGACTGAAACACACTTAAGTCAGTCGGTCACAACTTCCGCTGATGCTATGAAAAAACCTTACTCGAGTGTCAGGTCGACTGAAACGCCTTCACAGGCCACGTCTGAGGGGCTACAGGTAAGACGAAGACTGAAATTGGGTAGCCATAGAGAGCGCTTTGTGGGGTTGGGATTAGGCAGCAGTTTTTATGCAAAAATTCCTCACGATTGCAGTCTAAGTTGCCCTGTCAAAATTGGTGTGTTTGTATGTCGTATGTAGGCTCGTGTATGCTTGTCGGGCTGTGCTTCGGAGGATCAAATGAACCTCAGTTCTTAGTCCGTCTATGCTCTAGGCACACATGAGTTGCGGAAGTGTCGATACTACAGGATTGAATCAAACTTCACTGAAACAGTGTACAGGGCCTATCATAAGCAGAAAGAACGGATTATTTGTAACCATAATTGTAAGTGAAAACTGTCATGTCTGGTGGTTTTAGAGAATGCGGCTTAGCGGTGTAGCCTGTTGGGATAGAAAGCCCCACATGGATGGTAGGAATCCCACCGGGGCATAGTGAAACTGAAGTCAATTATAGCTTAGAACGGACGTATGGGATATACGGCGGAACACAATTCGTGTCAACCCATCGAAGACTAAGTCGAAGATAAAACTCATTCCTATCTGATACAACCGTGTGCATATAACACGTCTTTCACATCATCAAACAGCAAACAACCATTGATGCAGTAGGTATGTGAACTTTTGCATAGGTTTGGCTAAATACAACCAAAGTTTGCTTTAGCTTTTGACAGACAATTACAAGAGTTGTTGGAATTCAGCTGGTCGCAGTTGACCTGCCTACTATACAACACTAGGGTCAAGTGGTCTGGAGGATACATGCTAGCACCTGAACACAGGCCAGAATTCGCATCCCACCGGGAGTGCAGAGCTGACCCAGTCGATGTCGAAACTGAGTTGCACTATGATGAGCTGTATGGAGTAATGAAGTTAAACACAAAAGCAAGAATATTCTTTATTTATAGTCGATATATTTATTGCTAATCCATGCAAAACTAGACAAATTGGTTTCATTGTCAGAGACCTTGACTTGGGAATACACTGAGTCCAGATCATGAGGCCTTGTAGAACTGCCTCGAGTATCATGTTTTTGTTTGCAGATGCCTTAGAAGATTCCTAATTGATACACAAAAGAATAGAATAAGTGGACGCATGTTGGTAAATAGTGAATGTTTAGTGTTTGCCAAAAGCGAAAACAATCACAATAGCCTCTAATGATATGTCTGAGGATACTTTCATGGTGTGTTTGGTCAGTCTCTTGCCGATGGGCAAGCTTTTTACTTCTTCGACGCCACAATCCAGAGAGAAAAAGCATCCTAGTCGCCGGAACATGGAAGTCAGAATTAGTGGAGAATGATTTGAGGTTCCAGATAAGCTTGTTTCCCCCTTCCTGTCCATGGCCTCCGTCCGAATGGGGCGTCACCGAGTTCAGGGGTTGTGTTTCATCTTCGAAGCAGATCTTCTCTCCGGCCTGTCAGGTTGTCCCACTGTCTGACTGGTCTGTTTGCCCAAGTGGGACCTACAAACTCTCAAAAAGCTCGCTTTAAAGTACCGCTCGAGGTCACAACCTGAAAGGATGTCAGCGTCATCATCAGCAGGCAAATTATCATTACAGTGATCTGGGAAGATTCGGTCTCTCGGATGAGAAGGCCATTTATCTTGTCTGCTGCTCGGCTTTCTGGCTCTCAAACAAGGCAGAGATAGGCCGAGGCAGTGTGTTTCCAGTGTCCAGATCTGCCCCCTCGACCAAGTGGGCAAAGTCGCTGTGAGGAAGATAGACACGGTGTCTGTGCCGAGGGTTCGTGTGCGTTTGGCGGCCATGGAAAAAAGTAGACCTGTGCGACGGTACTTGGGTGCATGTGTATGCGTGTATGTTAATAATGCGTGCTTTGTGATTTGTGTGATTATGCGGGTGTAATGATGTGTATGGGAATTCGAGTGAGATTGCCTATGTGTATGCGTAAGTGAATGCATGCCTGGGGCAACGTAT